GAATTATTTCAAATGGTCATTGTTTGTGCTGGAAATAATTATTATTTTTGAAGAAAAACAACATTTTCTTTAATGTTGACCATCCAGAATGGTAAAATAATCATTTCAGCCTTTCTCTCTCGCCTCCTACATCTAGCAGCAAATGAAGAAAGGGAAAGAGAGATGAAAGAGGGCAAAGAGATAAAGCTTGAAAGATTTATTTTCTTGAGAGTGTGCATATTTTGGAACAGAATGTAAATGAAACACACAAAAAAAACCCACCAAAAACATTACGGAGAAAGTACTCGTGAGCCCTACTACGGATTTTGGATTGCCCAGCAGTGAAGAGTGCAGCCTGTATCTCTGCTGTCTTTAATATAAAGCCATATGCAAATTTTCCTTTTTTTCCCCTTTTTTTCTTTTCCTTCTTTTTCTTCTCCTCACCATCCTACCCCCAGCTGTCACTACGTAGTAATATCCGTTTCTGCTGAATGGCTGCATTCATCATCTCAGCAATGTGATTTTAGCACTCACATGATCTCTTAGGTCAGCATTCACGCTCCACAAGCAGAAGGGCATGATTTCCCCCAAAACTTAAATCACTTGAGATAAGTTGGGCATTATCTTCAAGGTTGCAAATTGCTTGTTTGCTCCTCCAGCTGGAGCTCTTAATTCAGAACAATTAGCATGCCATTTAAAACAGAAACAAAACATATGGAGGTGATCCTGGGAAAAGAGCATGTTTGGGTTGGAGCACCCCAGCATTGCCTGGCATTCACTGAGCCAGCTTGGCTCCAGTTTGTCTTTCTTTGCACATCCCAGCTCTTCCTTTTGTCCTTCTTTCCTCTCTCCATCTCTCTCCCCCTCCCTCTCTTCCTCCCTTCACTGCTTTCTTTCCTTACTTTCCTTACCTCCTTGCCTCCATCATTTTTGCTCTTATGGTTCATACTGGAATTGCACAAGAATGTTATTGAGAGAACCAAGAATTTATTTTTCATGTGAAATAAAAACAATGTTTTTCTTCAAGTCTTTGTAGGAATCAGCATCGCCTGACACACATTGTGTCACAAGAGCGTTTTTTTTCATCCCACAAATGATCTGCACATCTTCCCAATGTACTTTTCTACCACTGGGGTTTGTTGGGAGCCCTCAAACCTGCAGACCCAGGCTGTGAAGCCGAGCAGGTCATTTTAAAGAGCTTTTCTGCAACCCCTTTCCCTTTACTCTCCGTCAGAGGATGGATGGAGGCAGCATCGGCAAATCTGAATAACTAATCAGAGTCCTCATTAACCCCCTGCAGAGATGCTCAAACATTCACTTTGCTGTTTGTGAAGCAGAAAAAAAAAAAAAAAAAAGGGGGAAAAAAAAAAAAATACGACACAACACGACCCGCCCTGCATTAAAATTGATGTGTTATTAATCCCACTGTTCAGACCTCATGGGCACCAAATTTTCCTCCATCTCGCCCAAGGCTGAACAGTGTGGGGCCGCTCCTGCGGGGCACTTTGACTTTCCATTATTTATTGGTGCAGTGTGGTGAGGCCGCTTTGTTCCCCGTGCCCAGATGTGCACACATGTGCCTGGCGGGGAGATTCCCATATTTCTTTACATTTCCCCCCACCTCCAAGGATGCAGATCACCTACAGGGGCAGTGCTCTGCTCTTGGATTCATCCGCGGTTGGTGCACAGCGTTGCTTTTCAGAAATATGGAAATGGTGCGTGCATGTTGACACTTTCCAGATCTTTTTGCTGATGATGGCGTCATCAGGGTTAGCTTGTGACTCTGGGAAGGTGGGAGGATGAACGGCTGAGAACGCCGGGTTGCTCTCTGCGCCTTCAGGTGCTCCCACCCTCTGGGCCGCGTTTTGTTCTGAAATTGCCCGATGGGGAAAAAACAAAACACAATCAAAGGAGTTTTTGCAGTGCTCCTTATTTCAGCTTGCAGTGGGTGTTGGAGCTGCTGTGGTGCTTGGAGAGGAGTCATCGCCTCTTAATTATGACTGGTGCTCTTCAAAGAGCACAACTGAAATTTGAGCCTTGGTTTTGCTCATTTATAATACTTTTCATGCTGATAGGGTTTCTCCAATTTTCACCGCAGGTACAGAGTTTGGGGATGGCACAGCTTGGAGTGAGATATGAAAAAATTCAGCAAAGCCAGCAGCGTTATCAGGGATGTCAGTGTTTGTTGTTCCTTCAGGTCAGAGGAGCTGGCACGGAGTTGTTAAAAACTGAGCCACAGTTAAACAGCACTGAGCTGCTGACGTAGGAAACGCTACGGTTTGGTCACACTGGAATCAAGTCAGCATGCCAGGAAACATCATTTTTTGCAACAATCCTTAATGATTATTTTTTGCTAAATATTAATCAGCGTTTCTTTATATTTAATTAAATCCTTATTAAAGGGATGCTCTAAGGAAGCAGCCTTTTGCATTCTGAGCACAGGCTGAAGTCCTGGGATGCTGGTACCTTACCTGGGTTTCCATCTTCACTGATGGACATGATGCAAGTTGGGTAAATGGGGATTTAGGGTGTGTTGGTTGGGGGATTGCTGTAGATGCAGTCTGTGCCAGGACTGCATATCGTTGCCATCAGTGTGTCTTGTTTGTGACCCTCCAGCATCTGCTCCATGCACTGAGTGCTGTATCTGCCATGGAGCAGCTTGGAGGCAACATCTCCATTCCCTCTCGCATCTTCAGGACTTCAAAGGCCTCTGATAAACTTCAAAGGATGCCTTTTGAAGTTGCTGAAAGTGTGTGCTGGCTAATGAAGATCTACCTCCCTTTGCAAGAGCGTTTGGGGAAGCGTTACTGGTGGGACTGGCTATTTGTGCTCCTTGTGACAGTGACAAGAGCTGCATCTTTTGTGCAGAAGCCATGCAAGCTGTATTTTTGCCCTGTCAAAACAGGTGCATGCAGTATCCAAGACCGCAGCCCTGATCAGCTCTGAAGGTGGAAATCAGCATTGCTCAGGAGCTATTTTAGCCCTCGCAAAGCTCTGTTTATCTGCTCCTTTTCTTCCAGGTCTCATACTTTATTCACACGAGCAAAGCCAGATGACAAAAGTCTCTCCCATGGGAGGAAAGAAGACTTTACAGGGACGACAAATTGCTGCAAAAATATGAGCTTGTGGAAACACTGTCAGGACAAATCCAAAGCAGGTCACATCCCAGCTCCTTGACTAGCATTCAGCGTCAGCCTGTGCTTGCTCTGCCAAAGCATGAGCCCATAGGTTTTTACTCCTGATTATAAATATCCTTAATGATGTTTGCAATTGAAGAGTTTTGGACTCAAGACCCATCCGAGTGTTCAGCATAACCCAGGTTGAGTCTCTCAACCTCTCGGCACAACCTGCACTTGGTCAGGAAGCCGAGAGCCTTCTTGCTTCTTCACCAAGTCTTCCATTTTTTGAGATTTGGAGTCCAGCTTTTGGATGGGCAGAGAAGATTTTGTGCCAAGAGCACATGCATAAATGTGTGCTCACAACTGTAGTGCTGGAAACTCAGATGGCATTTTGCATGGAGAAGTCATGGGAGTGATACTGAAACAAACACTTAAGTGCTGGGGCTGTGGTGCGTAGCATGGCAGATATTTGGGCAGATGTTGGGGATCTCAGAAGCTCTCCTCTAGCTGATGCATATCTGGGTGCATTTATCCCATGTGCATTCAAGGTCTGAGCAGCTGTAGACCAAGGTATAAATATATCCTAGACACATGTGAGTGATCTGAGGAGGTCTGTACCGTATGATACATATCGTGGGAGGCAGATGCAGATTGAAGATCTGAGGAGCTTTCTGGAAGGGATGTTTATCAAGGGACTTACATGTTTATTGGAGTTTTGAGGAGCTCTGTAGCGGTGTTATATATAGCATGGTAGATATGTCAGGCGTGCACGGGAGATCTGGGGAGCTCTCTAGAGGTGATGTATGTCGTGGTAGGTACATACATCAGATGTATATTTTAGATTTGAGGAGCTCCAGACTGGTGATATATATAAGAGATGTATGTATCAGACAAATACAAGAGATCTGAGCAGCTCTCTAGAGGTGATTTATATCAGTGTAGATATTGCAGGTTATATTGGAGATCTTAGGTGATGTTTATCACCTTGTATCTAGAGGTGATGTAAATTGAGGGACATTTATCAGACGTATATTGGAGATCTGAGGAGCATGCTCAGAGGTGATGTATGTATCAGAGATCTGGGGAGCTTTGTCTCTTTGCCTTGAAATCATCCACTTGCTTCCAGTGTCTCTTGGAGGCCTTGATGTCATCCAGTTTTCCAGGAATTACATTTTCTACGTTCTCCTTTTCTCTTAGAGAAAAAAACAACACAAAATGCGCCCATGGCCATGCAAGTCACTGCTCGGTCTCGCTTTTTGTTTGTTTATTTTATTATCCGCGATGCAGAAGGTTTCAGATAACAGCTATCTTTATCCTGGACTCGCCTGGCTCGCTGACTTCTGTCTTGTCAAGGAGTAGCACCCATTTGCCAACCTTGGTCACAAGAAATCTCAGGTTTTAAGTCATCCTTGCAAGCTTCCTTCCATGTGGATTTTTTTTTTTTTTTTTGACACAGGAACCGCTGCAGAGAGGGAGATTTGTGAGGGCATTTAGTGAGATAATTAAAGCTGAACTGAGAAATATGGTGATTTGCAGATGCACCTAAGTGGGTTAGGCAGCTAAATCCCATTTAGGCAGGGAAATTTTGCCACTTGATCTGCTTAGAAAGGCCTAGAAATCCCAATCTCAGCTTCCTTAAAGACCAGATCCTTGGGAGACGCAGCATCATCTCTAACACTTATACGGACTTTTGCTTATTAGATAACCTCCTGATCCACTCCCCTGTTTTTGAATTAATGGCTCTTTCCTGGTTCATGCAGTCTGAGCTGGAGTGTAGAGGCACATTTACACTCAAGCAAAGATTGTAATTAACTATGGGAATGGTGACAGCCAGTGCAAAACAGGGGCATGGCCAACAGCAGCGGCAGCTTCATGTCTTTTTCCCTGTTTTCTCCTTTTCAGACCCAAACTGTACCACTAACCCACTGTGAGATCCTGTGCTGGGGAGCTGTCATTCCTGAGGAGCAGAAGGGGACGGGACGTGATACAACTGTGGCTTTCCGCCTGTGGATATACTGGCATCGAGCGCATCTTCATATTCCAGGCACATCTCGGTTCGACCTCTAAAGCTCTGATACATTTTTCCCATTCCTTGGAGATGCTTGTCACGTCCCTGGGGGTCTGACTTATCAGCCACTAGTCCACCTTTCATCCCCAAGGGGCACTTCTCACCTGACTTCCTTGATTCCTCCTATTTTTTGCCCTATCCTGTGATAAGAAGTTCTCTAAGAGCAGACTTGCCCTTGCAGGGTGGCCTGCAGTGGCTTCATTGATGGTGCCAGAGGACCTAGCACAAAAAGCTTCATCCTCTATGTAATATTTCATCTTCCATTTCATTGTTTTCTTTCCATATGCAATATTTCACCATTTTATTTCCCAGACTGTGACCCATACTCAGAAGTTTTGCTTTTGTGGCTGTGGAACATTTCGTGCAGTGGCTCCTCAAGCACCCACAGACGGTAAGGCAGCCTCGTTTTGTACTAATTGGGCAATGATGTATGAATTGAGAGGGATATGGTGAGTTGTGACCTCAGCAGGGCTTTGTCTGAGGGATTTCTGCTCTTTCCTGGTACCTTGCACTTGTATTGCCCCTTTGCTAAATTCGGTGAGCATTAGAGAGGAATTGCTGACTTTCCTATTTTTATTGTTATTTTCCTTAGAAATCAGGCTGTGCAGGGGATCTTGCTTTAAAGCTCGAGCGTTGAGAGCACATTGTTAAGAGCTGTAAGCCACGACTAGACTAGAGGAAAACACAGATTTTGTCATAAAAATACCCCAAATATGGGCTGTTATCACTGCGAAATATTGGCAGCTCAGTAGGATATGGAGAAATGGTCACCAGTTAAAAATAACTTAAATGCAGAGCTTAAAATAAGATGTGCATGAAACCAAGGATCTCGCAGTTCCTCAGTCAACCCCAATCGCTAAAATTAGGGCCTGACAGAGTGACAAATGTGTTTGCTCTGTGCCAACACTGGAGGCACCCAGAGGGTGACAAAATAAATCCCCATTGGCTGCAACTTTCCTCCTAAAGAAGCAAAGAAAAATCTTTGGCTGTTGAACAAAATATTAACTTGAAAACTGAGATGCCTTCAGTGTGGGCAGCTGTCCTGGAAAGGAGCCTGATCTCCTCCTAAATCAGCGGAGATGAGGGCTGGAGCATCTCAGGGTAAAACCCAAAAGCTGTTCAGTTCTTTCTGCTCTTTCAGCCCAAAGTGAAGCTTCACTTGGAGGCTGCATGGCAAAGCACAGTGCAAAACCTTTTGCATCTTTTCTCTGAGTTTTGCCTGCTCTGAAAGCCCTTTTAATAAACGGCAGTCAATAATGACAGGATTATTTTCTCCAGACTGCCCTTTCAGCCTCAATCCTCACTAGTGACCTTCCATCAGCCAAATAAAACAGGATTAAGTATGTGGCGAAGTGGCTGAATTTCTCATTATTCCAGATCTCAGGTTTGGCCCCGTTTCTACTAAAGGTGTGGATTGGGTTGACCTCGGAATCTCTTCTTAGGTTAAACATAAAACTATCAGAGGGTGTCCAGAGGAGAGCTACAAGATGGGGAAGGCTCTGGAGAGCCATCTATCACCAGGAATTTTGCATTAGAATAAAAAACCCAGACCCATTTCCCTGGTGGTGATAAAGACCAGAAGACCAGAGAGCTGCAAGAGGGGGATGTGAAGCAGAAGTGCAGCAAGTTGGGAGCTCTGATTTATCTGCCATATGGGAAAGAGGAAAGCAGCCAGCTCCAAAGGGATTCCTTTCACTCTCCCAAAGGAAAAATTTGCAAGCATGTTAGCAGGAGTTAGTAAGAAATGAGGCAGATTTAAGCGAGGAAAGGGTTTTATGGGTGTTCCATGGCATTGCTTTGCTTCTGGTGATTCCCATGGGCAGGGAAATCTTTGCCTTGGTTCCTGTGCATATCTTTCCATCCACATTTCTGCAATTGGGGTAGGTCTGCTGCTTTAATCCAGTCTCTGCCACATGACCAAAAATTGTTCCTGCTGGTGTTGCCATCACTCACATGTGTGCTGGGGGATTTGATGAAACTGATGCAAATAGGCGACGTGTGTTACCCAGTCCTGCGTAGTTTGTGGCCGGATCTTTGCTGGGATCTTTGGAGCACTGAGGTTGTGGGTGGCTTCTGTCCACCGGTGCCAATCCGATCCTCTGACTGAAAAACTGGTGATGGGCTGTGGGATGGAATAACAAAGCTGATGTTGTATATGTTGTATAAAAAAATCCATTTTTGCTGAGGAAGATTTCCTCTGTCCTCCAAGAAGTTCTGTGTCAAAGTCTGAACCTGGTTGGGACTTTGGGGTGAGACTTTCCTATTTCAGGACTGGAATGTGATTGAAATTTGGAGTTTGGGTGTTGGAAATATGATTGCACAGCAATCCTTATGTCATGGGATTAGCAGGTTGCAATTGAAATTGAAGTGTGCAAGGCAACTTTTGAAAGCATCAGGATAGATTTTGATCATAAATTATTCACAGTTAATTGCTTGCAGTGAAGAACTGCTAGAAAATTAATCCTCTCCCGATTTTTGCTAATGCTCTCAAAGCAATCAGAACCTTTTCCTGGACAGTTTGTGTCCGACAAGGGGAATTTTGTACATTTTTAGGCTCCTCAGCTACGTTTCACTTCAAAGGTTTTCCATTTGCCCTCCAAAAAAAAAAATAAAAAATCACAATTTGCTCTTTTGGGAACTTTTGCTGGGCCGGGGGCTGCATTGCTCAAAATTCAAGTATTTTCATGTTACTTTGAAGAAACCTCTTTGATGTTTCCCTGTGCCAGTTTTTTTGGAAGGTGCTTTAAGGATCTCCCTCTATAAAAATAACACTAAAACGTGCGCAGGTATCTCAGCTCTCCACTTACAAAAAGAACAAAGTTGTTTAATGCTGCCGTTCAAGGTACATTAACCTTGTCTACTAAAGCTCTGACTGGCTCTTGCAGGTTTTATTCTTGTGTTTATGTTGCAGAGATATCCCTGGAGCATTTTGGTCGGCAGCGGGGATGGGTATCTTCGGAGAGAAGAGAAATATTTAGCGGTAATTGTTGTTCTCATCAGAAATGCACCACAGCAGCTCCCCCTCCCACACCTACTCCTTCCCGTGCAGCTGGGGGGGTTGCAAATATCTTAACGCTGCTTCCCTTCCACAACAGGGAGATTCCCCATCCCGTGGGGAACTGAGCTGTTTTTGGGACGTGCCATGCGGCGCAGCGTGTCCCTTTCCCCTTCTGCTGCCTTTGTGTTGGTCAAAAACCTTTTCAGGAGAAGAGGAGTTTGCTCCGGCCCTGGATTTTGTTCTGTAGAAATACCAAATCCCAAACTGCATTACACAGCGGCAGCAGCAGAAGCCCAGCCTTGATTCATCTTTTTTTTACTGGGAAATAACTCAGTGATGAGACACCAGGAAGTTGTCAAAGTGCAGTACGTAGGGAAGCTGCGTCTGGGCTGTTAGCGGTGCAGAAATCCTCCTGGAATTGAGCAGAGGAAATTTGGCTACCAAACATTGCAAAAAAAATAGAAACATTTGTTATCCCCGTGATGTTTCTAGCATCTATCCACATTCAAGGCAGCATGCAAGCCCATGTGGTAGAAAGAGAAGAATCATGAGAACCAATTGAGAATGGGTAATACCCTGAAAAACAGGATTCTTCCCCATTTTTGACCATTGATGAATTGACATCATCAGACATGATGTTAGAGGGTTGCTTTCGTAGCTTGTGAAAACCTAATGCTCACCTGCAACTGGAAACTTTTGCTCTCAGGAAAATGGGCAAATTTCAGTAAAAACAGACAGTCGGCAATGGGGATACGGCAGAAATGCTGCATGTGGGACCGAGGGATTCGCTCCTGAGTCACTTCACAGGCAAGCAGAGGGATGTTGTCACCCGCAGAGAGTGAACCTGTCCTAGCTGGCGTTTCACAGCAGGATATATTGTCCTCTGGAGGTGCATCTCCCTTCTTGTCAGCCATATTTCTTCATTTTAATTTATGTATATGTGAATAATGAATGCATATATCATAAACATCAGCGTGCAGAAGCCCTCTGTGGAGACAGCAGCACTGAGCTCTGGCAGCCTGCTGTGAGCAGAGCATGACCAACGCTGTCCTCGTGAGCCGTCTGAGAAAACACCCTTTGGAAGGGTGAAATCCCCTCCTGTGGTGGAACCACACTCCCAACCGTCTCAAATAATTTTGCAACGTCAGGAGGAAAATGGGAAATGCATGAAAACCTGTCTGCATGGTTTCCACGTGGAACTCTCAGTTATCCACCACACGCTGCAGGGAGAAGCTGTTGAATTAGCTGGAAAAAATGATCCCCATTTTCCATTGATTTGGAAGCAACAGCTGCATTTTGCAAAGCCAACATTAACGTTATCTGAAAAAATTGGTAACGTGGAGTCCAAGGCGGCGATTTTTTCACATTCAGGGCTTCTTCTAATGCATTTTCACAGCAGTTTTGCCAATCGTGCGGATCAGAGATTATTTCCTCTTTGCCTCCAGGATGGCAATGACTGCCAGTGATACTTGGATTTTTTTAACATTTTGAAGCATTGGTGACCACCCTGAAAAGATGACTTCTCAACTCGTTCTAATTACGTTAATTTGAAAGGAGAGATAAGAGATGGCTGGAAAAAAAGCAGCCTATAAATCTTTCCGGGCTGCAACTCTTTTAGGTCGGCACGAGCTCTGTGGGAAATACGTTTCCAACTTAATGGCAATGTTACAGTGAAATGAAATAATTTTTATTTCATAAGGAAATTTAGGATACTTTGATCTCAGATTGCTGCCAAAACCCCTTCCGGAAATGAAAAGAGCATTTATCAGTTTTATTGCTCAAAAATTCTCATTTGTGTGTGATGCCCCGGGAGCAGCCTGACTCCTCCTGCCCTCGTCAGCTCACCAGCCCCGAAAATTCACCATTTGCCCAAGGTGGGATCACTGATCTGAGATGCTCTGCAGGGGCTATTGCTCTGCACCCCTTCTCTTTCTCCTCTCCTCTTCTGGATGCCTATAGCCAAGGGCACACCGGTTTAAAAACATTTAAGGGGGAAAATAATGACCAAACAGTAAGAATTAGTACCTAAAACAGCAGCGATTGGACTTTCGCTGCTCCGGGGAGAGGCGCAGCGCTGACATAAATCCGCGGGGCTGCAGGGCAGCGCTGACAGCTCCGCACCGCACGGGGCCCCGCGGCTGCTGCGGCCCCACATAAACACAGCGCTGTCGGCGACGGCTGCCTCTCATTCTTATCCCTTTTTATATTTGGCCGTAAGTCGCGTTCTCCACACAAATCAACACCTGTGAAGCCTCAAAGCGCTGCTCGATGTGGCGAGCAGGTTGGGGGATACTCGGCAATTAATTCGGGCTCTGGACTGCCACCTTCTGGGAATACATTCGGATACAAAGCCTGCACCCTGCGGTGCAGCGCTGCTTGCTAACGGTAGGCTTGCTGCAGGCACGGACAGCAGCTGCGGGTTTTGCCCCAAAATAGCCTCTGAGGGGCCTTTTTCCCGTTTTTTTTCTGGGCTGTCGGGATGCCGAGCTCTTTTCTTTTTCCGGCTGCAGCTGTTTCTGGTGAGGTTTCCTCCACGAGCTTCGGTGTCACCCCTCGAGGATGGGGCTGCCTGTGTGCCTGCAGGGCAGGATTTAACATCTGACCCCAAAGATTTTAAGCTGCCGGTTCACTCAGGAGCAGATAATTTTATTAGAGTAAAAAAAGATAAAAGCGTCATTTCAGGAGTTGGACTCCATGATCCTCGTGGGTCCTTTCCAAGTCAGGAGATTCTGTGGTTTTACGATTTTAATCCCATAAATGCTGTCTTCAGGAGGTCTGCGTCACGCGCTGACCCCACTCTACATTCTCAATGCCCTCCATTTTGGATGTGCTTTCTTAATAAGCTATTCAAGGGACATGCAAAGCATGTGAAAAGTAGTCCTGTATTATTATATCTGTAAACAAATATTTTTCATATTTATTCACTCAAAACAATAACGGCGATTGATGCTGATCCCATGCACAGTGCTCAGCTTTCTGTATCAGCACAGTGCCTTCGTGCCTGTGGTGCCTGGTGGGCTCTGCAAGGCCCAAAGTCTCACGGAGGAGAGCAGAATATTGCAAATCTTCCCCCAGGCAACTGCAGGGAATGATCTGAAGACCCCGAGCCAGCCCACCTCAGCATCCCTGTTCCTCTGCCGTGGGTGAGGACGTTTCCTCCCACAGATCACAGGAGGAAGCAGAGCCCTGCATGCACCAGGGTTCCTATGGGGAAAAGCATAGCAAGCTCCACCCAAGGCAGCCCATGGCCGCAGCAGCGCTGCTCTCACCTGTGGCCTTCGTCACCTTTCCCTGAATGCATTTCCCATCCAAAATGACAAATCTCAGATAACTGTCACATTAAGGGTCAACAGATCATTTTGGGTTTCCCACAGGGAGAGAGCTCTGTGCTCATGTGAGGGGTGTCACCTCTCCTTTCCTTTCCTTGTCTCCTTTTTATTGTTATTTTTCCCTCCTGGGGAAGAAAAGCCCCATTTCGGGGTGTTTTTCCCCCAGATCCAGCAGCTTTTCCCTGCCCGCAGGTTCTCAATGTGACTCCTGCCCAGGATGCACCATGTCTCCCCGGCACCGGCTCTGACGATGATGGCCACCCAGACGGTGCCCCCTCCTCCCTACCAAGACAGCCCACAGGTGAGTGCCCCCCATGCCCTCATCCCCCCAAAATCCCCTCCCACTGCAGTGTGGGTTCTGCAGTGAGGTGGCTTTGGAGGCAATTTGAATGGCGTTTTGATTGATTTTATGGCATTTTTGGCAAGCCGTCCCAGGGAAAAAGAGACTTCATCTACAGTGTTGCTCCAAGGAGTCGAATAACCTCCTTTCCAAGTGTCATTACAGAGTTAGTTATTGTAAGAAAAGGAATTTGGTCCAAGAGAAACTCAGCCAGTGCACCCCAATGTGCTGGATGTGGGGATTTGGGCTCTGGCAAGGTTGGGTTTTGGGGTTGGCCCTCCTCTTTGCAGCCTATTCCAAGCTTCTGGGGGGCAAATCTGTATTTCTGGTTTGGTCTGCTGAGACTGAATGTGGATGATCCAGATGTAGCACTGAACTGGTACTGTGTCTAAGGCAGCTTTTATAGGGCTTATATGGAAAAATGTGAATTTTCTCCCCATTTTGTGTTTTCTTCAAAGCTCAGCTCTGCTGCCTTTCTCCACCATTTGCATCCCTGTGTGGCTGCAAAAGCACAAAATACCCCCCAGGAAAAAAAAATAGAGACCATTTCCTGCAAGGAAAATAAATACATTGCTGCCTAGCCGTGACTTCTGCACTCCCCTGAAGCCACCCGGGCCTCCTTTCAGCTCGTCTCCTTCGGTGGGAAAAGGTCACTTTTGCAAATGATGCCTCGGTGGGGCTTTTATGGCTCCTCCAACTTCTGTGTCATCATTTGCTCGCTCCGCTGCTCCGCTCAGGGCTTTTTTTTTTTCCCTCACTTTTTCCTTTTTTTCTTAGTGCCTCCCAGTCGAAACGCTGCGCCTTTCTCGCTTACGCAGCAGGGAGCTGGGACGCCGATTTAGTCCTAATGGGCAATTTAAGGGACTTTTAAAATAGCCCAGCTTTTCCATGGCATCCTACAGAGACATACCCTATACCTTTCCCTGTCCCTTCTGTGCCCTCATTTTCATTTAGAACATTGCATTTGGGGATCTCTGGGGCTGTTGCCACCCAAGCCCTTTCTTTTTCATCCTTTCGAAGGGGATGCTTGTGTGTTTGCCCTTCATTTTAGGGGGAATGCTGCAGCAAAAAGCACTTTGTTTTGTGTTTGTTATTTTTTTTTCTGAATGCTGTGGCTGCTGTGAGCTTTTCACCTGAAAATGGTAGGATTTGGTATTTCTAGCTTTTAGAAAAGCAAATTGCATGTTTATTCCTCTCCCCAAAGATACAGCAGATATGGGGAGGTCAGTGTTAAATAAGAAAACAAGTTGAACCATCAATTACAAGAGTTACAACTGACATTGCAAAGCTTCCCATTATCAAAGGGACCATCCTAGGGAGAAAAATGGTAAAAAAGGGGTTTGGGGGAGCTTTGCATTAATATCGTTACTGTAGAGGCCATGCAAGCAATCAACCTCACTGTCAGAAATGTGCAAAAATGAAGCAGAAGTGGTGGGAACAGCTGCCTTATGAGGGAAAAAACGCTGTAATAATCTCCTGGTTCTGCTACCAGCACGTAACGGTGTAATTGAGACCAAGCGTGATCGCTGAGCAACTCTACCTGTTGGAAATTAGGACTCTGCATAGAAATCCATGTGTTTTCCATAATAAATTAAAAGAAAGAAAAAAGCAGAAAGTCGTCTGCCATTTCACTGTCAAAGTTGGGCAAATATATTTAGCAGAGTAGAGGTTATTTTAAAAATACAATCTCATTTTCAGCACAGGAGCTGATGAAAATAAGCCTGCCCCCAGAAGCCATTTTTAAAATGGTGTTGCATTTGTCACGGACAAATCCAGAAAATCTGCAGCTGTTGCAGGTTAAAAATCGAGCAGAGATGTCAATTTTTCTGTAGGATCAGTGAGTCCCTCTCCTGGTGTCCTCAGCATCGTTCTGGGCTTGGAACCTGCATAAATGGCACATGGATTTCATGCAAAGGCACTGAGAAATGTCCCTGTGAATAGGATCGTATGCAGCAGGCTGCCCTGCCTTGAGCACCTTCACTGGGGTTGCTGGAGCCGACCTATTTGGCTGCAGTTCTCATAAATGTGGAGCAAAAGGGATTATTGCAGGTGCCAGGCGTGCTGCCACTGGCTCTGGCAAAGCATTTTCGTCCTAAAGAACCAAAAAGAGGATTATAACACCAACAGGAGTACAACTGGGAGGTGATGCAGTACCACAAAAATCACTTCAGCTCTCTGCACAGAATTCAGCCCTGCTGTTACCCAGCAGTTACCATTGCACGAATGCATGGCAATTTTATGCTTTTTTCCCTCTCTTGTGCACATACTGTTGGCTGTTTTCCTCCCTGCCCCGCACCCCTGTCTGTCTGCAAACGCTTTGCTTTGGAGCAGCCTCTCCTATTTTTTTCTGACTTGGCACCACCGTGCTGTTCATCAGAGGTTGCATGAGGTGTGGGATTATTTTCTTTAGTCCAAGGTGAGGTAATGGCTTCGAAACAGCCGCAGAGGAGGCTTTTCTGTGAGTAATAGCCCAATTAGTTGCAGACTCAGCTGCACGCAGCCAACTTGGCAGGATTTGGGGGCTCCGTCTGCCGACGAGGACACAGAATGGTCTGCAGTGTCCCGGTAAATGAGTGCTCAAGTGAAGAAAGGGGAAAAGGGGAAAACAAAATCCATTTACCCCCCAAAATTTAAAGTAATTCTCAGCGGAGCTGGCAGGGAGAGGAATGGGGAAAATGAGAAAGGAAGTGGAGGTATTTAACGGCGTGGCTGGAATGCCGTACACAGTCAGTGCTTTCTATTTGGGTTTGTACAAAAACTGGAAAAAAGCAGGGAGAAACCCCAACTGATGGGTGAAGTCCCACAAACCCATTTATTTGGCCCTCTGGGAGTGAAAAGGGAGAAAAATGAAGTAACCCAGCCAGCTTCCGCGCTGGGAGTGTTAGAAATTAAACGGTGCCAGGTGAATTTCCAGGAGCCAAACTTTGGAGTTATGAACAATAACTGAGATTAAAAAGTGCCGTGGCAGCAGGGAAAGGTCAGGCAGGAGATATTAAAGTCAAACATTTCAAAAGCAGCGGGCGCTTTGGCACAGGTCCGTGCAGCTTTTAATCGAGGTGAGAAATCTGTTTCTCCATGCCGAGAGTCTGAGTGCAGAGGTGAGTCGTGCTGGACAAAACTGTAGGCATCTGCACGTATACACGCCTCTTTATGTACACAGAGAAAGTATTTAGCCAGAGACAGAGGCTTCTTTTTGCTACGCAGCTTGGGGGAGGATGGAAGATTTATGGAGGAAAACAGACAAATGCTAATTTGTACAGAATTCCAGAGCAAGAACAGGTGAAACATCGACTCAGGGAGTTCATTTTGCACTGAGATTTTGAGTTGCAAACCACACGAGTTGGGGTGCTGATTGATTTGGCCCCAGAGAGATTATGCTTCTCCCCCAGCTGTTATTCTTTTAACTAAATCTTGTCATTTATGTCAGATCTGGCTACAGCCTGGCAGTGAATCACAGAAACACGGAACTGTAGGGGCTGGAAATAATGCAGATTTCCCTAATGCAATCATTAATTTTAATGTTAATCATTAATTTTAATTTTAGTTAATATGGAAATCACCCCCAAACATTCGAGCGAGGACACATACCCTATGCACGGAGATTTTGGGATGCTTTGGGGTGATGCTGGGAGGACGTGCAGCAATTTGCACACGTGCTGGCAGAGCTTGGTCTTGCTTTTTAGATGCATGTTTCACTAAATTAATGTCAAGTTTTTGAAAAGCAAGGCATTCGCTAACACAGTCGTTTACTGCGTTCATCTCATGTATATTTTGCTGGCGGATTTCGCGCCCCTTCACAGCAGCCATTTGGGCAGAGTTGGCCTTTGGGACACACACACAAAAAGTTGCTTTTCTGGCTGTCTGCTCTAAGTGCTTCAGATGACTCATCTCTGGGCTCAGCACAAAGAGGGCTGGCAGAAGCTGGTGTGATTCTGGGAGAAGGCAGAAAGCCTGTGTGTCTGACAGCCCTACCTGCTCTCTTTGAACATTGAGAGCAGGAGACGAGCAGTGCAGATTTTATCGGGGACTGCGGAGCACTTAGCATAGAGCACCTGCAATTCCCCCTCACATTACCCCTTTTTCTCTCCTGTTTCCCCTTCCCCTCAGATGACGGCCACAGCCCAGCAGCCCAGCAAGGCTCAGCCCGTGCACCTCTCTGCCGCGCCGGCTCCCACCGCAGCCGTGCCCCCCGCAGCCGGCGACCCGCAGGCGCAGCTGGAGGCCGACAAGCGAGCTGTCTACAGGTGATGCCAGCTAACGGCCATGGGCAGTAGTTAATCCTAGTGGCAGTTTGTTCCTGCATTCATTTTTCTTGTGCATTGGGAGTGCATTGATTCGGTAATGCACTGATTAATGCATTGATGAATGCAGCAACGCACCGATACGTTAATCACGGTAATGCATTGTTAACCCACTAACATTCAAATGCATTTGTTAATGCCTGGGAATGGGTGGGTTCGCATTTAGCTCCTTTTTAGCAGTAATAATGCAGGATGACGGAGCTCCTTGGCCAACCTAGCACCATGGCCAGCAGCACCACACCCCTCCAGAAACACCACAAAATCCAAATTCATCTTTTTTCTTTCTGTAAAACTGTCATTTGAGGCAGAAAATGCACTCAGGAGGAGCAAAAACAGCCATGAACCTGGAACGTGCAGTTTGTGCATCCATGTGGTACGCAAGCGGCAGTGGCTGGACGCCTCCTGCCCCCTTATTTTTAGCTGTGGGTACAATAATACATCATATTATAATGTATAAAGTGTTGTAATAAGTAATATAATGATTATGCAAATAATGTGATTATATAAGTGATATGTAATTAATGATAATACCATAATGTATGCAGTATGATATAGCAGTGTTGTTGGGGGTTGGAACTGGATGATCTTTGAGATCCTTTTCAATCCAAGCCATTCTATGATTCTGATCTATGATACTGTCATATAATTAGGATTAAGGCTTAATATTAAGGAATAACCCCAGCTAACAGCCACGGCTGTGGTTTGGAGATGCCATGCATTTATAAAAATGCATAGAAGTAATTTTTTTGTGGCATATGGGCCTATAGGGTTCCAGTCCCATGTGAAATCTGAATATGCATCATTTCATGTAGGATAAATATACGTCATTTGATATCAAATGTACTTTCAGCAGCTGGCTGCGTGCCACCCCGTGCTGCTTCCTCCACTGTCAGCAATGGATTTTTGTTAATTTTCAAAGGCAGAAGGCATTGGCTCTGTGCATTGGTTGATCAACCTGAAGGGAAGGGAAGCAACAAGATGCAACAAGAAAGATAGGAGGCGATGGGCAAATGACCACAAAGTCACCACTGGATCTTATGCTCTAGAGGGAGTTCTATCCTCCATTAAAAAATAGGAAAAAAAAAAAGGAAAGGAATCTACTTGCTCTTTGCTGTACGACCAAGCATCATTCTGGGGACTAGCCCAGCAGCATCACTTCAGATTTTGGGCTGTCATGCACTCAGAACCACTCCTGCGCTCTCTGTGCTCTGGATTTCCTAGTGGGAAAAGTCTGTGTCTCTTTGCCAACCTGCTTTTGGAGAAAAAAAATGCATTTTGGGGCTGGAAAAGAGAGCAGCAGCGAGCGTTGTGCCGCGCTGCCCTCCCTGTGCCCGCACTGCCAGCCTGCAGCAGCACCCTGCTGAATGTGCGAAATGAGGCCATTAGAGGGATTCATTTCTCTTTATTAGCCCGTGTCAAATCCTTTTTATTAGCGGCTGCCAACGACCTCTCCTGCAGGAAAATGTCAGGTTCAGCCCTTTATTTGTTCGGTGCCACCGCTGCACGAGCAGCTTCTCCTGCTTATTTGGAGCGGTGGCAAATGGGGTGGAAAGGCTGACCTGTGCACGCTCCAGATTCAGAGGATTGCCCCCAAAACACAGATTTTTGCAAAAGCAGATGTTGCCAAAGCAAATTTTTCCATCCCAAAACTCTTCTTGGTGCTGTGGGGGTGATTCTCTGCCTTTGTGAGATCTGTGATGGGGGAAATCCTCCTGGACCTCGTGCATCCTGGATGCCCATCCCATATTTCACATCGAGGGCGGCATCCAGATCCCCTGTGCCAGAACCCTGTGGTGCCTGTCCCATTCTCCTGTGTTTAGCAGCCATCGAAAAGCTGAAAGTGGAGAAATCTGTGTAATTTTTGCATGCAAAAGGAAAATAAACCAACAAACAGTTGCAACAATTCAGCACCCAGCTCATGGCAGAAACCCTAATTTCACTGCTCCTGAACACCATGCTTGAAAAGGGCTTTGGTGATTTTCCTTAGCTTAGGGGTTTTTCATGTCCACCTTTAGTTTTATTTAATTATGATTTTTTTGTTGTTGTTCGAAATATTTATATATATATATTACATTTTTATATTTTATTATCGTATCATTTATTTTGGTTTATTTTCCTTCCAAATAAAAGCTACCCACACTGCCTCCCCATCCCACAGGCAATTCCTGAAGGTCAGTTATGAGCACAGCGAAGCGCAGTGAAGTCAGTGGTGGCTTTAATCCCTGTTGGCACCAACACCCCTTCAAAGCAAAGAGGCTACAAAATGCATCTCCCCCCTATAACAACCCCAACCCCTGGGGTAATTTTGTTCCTTCGTACCAGGTTGGTTCGTGCCTTTTCTTCCTAGCTGGTTTTCGAAATGGCATCTGCTGCGAGCCGTGGGTTCATAAGGCCAATAATTCATGCTGCTGCTTGGAATTTGCCGTTCATATCCCTCGGCTGAGCCCCGGCAGGGCAGCTGAAATTATGGAATGATTCCCCCAGCCCCCGCAGACTGCTCCAGCCCTGGCAAATCTTGCATTAAACTGGGATCAGGCCAGATTAGACCATAATATGCTGCAGTATTAGTGGCTGCAAATGAAGACTTATCCCAGGGGTTTAACCCCTTCCCCTGACTCTGGCTTGGAAGAGACCCACAGGAAGCCTGGAGCGAGCCATTATCATTCCTCCTTTGGGCTAAAATTGCTTTTTTTTCCCCCAAAATTGTTGTATACCTGTTTATAAGAGTACTTATCTGAAGGGGGTGCAGCAAATCCTGTTATACTGAGATAACTGGGGTGCCATTGCTGTGGGGATGGCAAAGCAATCCCATGGCAGCATTTTGCATTTCTCCCCTCAGAGTTTAATAGCTTTATATTTTTTATGTTTTCTATTTTTAATAGTTTTATATTTTTAAAGTTGCACAGCCAGAGAAGCTCCCTGTGCTATCTCATGACCTTTGTGTCCTTCATTTCCGTGTGCTTTGCACTAACATGTATATTTATATTTTATACTGTGTTGATTTAGAATAACTATTAAAAGGAATCCCAATTGGAATCCCACTGATGGATTTCCAAAAAGAAAGGCAAGAAAGGCAAGCCTGTCCTCAAAGGGAAATCTCGTATTAAAAAGAAAGTGAGGTTTGGCCCACCTTCTACCTCATCTTGAACACAGATGTGCTCAAAATAGTCACAAAGAGCCATCGGGATGCAGTAGCAACCCATAAAGCAAAAGCAAGTCGGATGCTTGGTATAAAAGGATGTAGAAATGCATGCCCGCCCCATCCATCATCCCCAGCTGACCGACATTTTTGGGAGCCTTTTGGCTTGGATCCCAGTGCAGATGTCGATTCCAGTGCCAAGGCAACCTCCTTGAAGCCAAACGTTTTTGTCCACTGCAGAACCATTCTGAAACAGGCAGCACTGGTGCAATGCTGGAAAGTGTCATGATGTTGAGACACGCCACTTCTGGAGGGGAAATGGTGCATTCAGCAATTCTAAAACTTTGTTTCTTACCTGATCTAGAGAAAGCACATTCAACACTGGCATGAGGTTTTCATCACCAGGCTGTAGCAAGCTGGGAGGGAATGGATAGATGGTTTAGGATAAGAACAGATGAAAGAACGAAAACAGCTGGATTTATGGGGTTGCCTGCTCTGTTGTTCACAGGCACCCACTGTTCCCGCTGCTTACGCTGCTCTTTGAGAAGTGTGAGCAGGCAACCCAGGGCTCCGAGTGCATCACCTCAGCCAGCTTCGACGTTGACATTGAGAACTTTGTCCACCAGCAGGAGCAGGAGCACAAACCTTTCTTCAGTGATGACCCTGAGCTGGACAACCTGGTAGAGTGTGCTGGGGCTTCGTGTAGGGCCTCTGTGGGCTGGGGCTGGAATAGAGGATGATGTGTTATGGGAGTCTACCAACTTGACAAGATGTTGGGGCAGTGTTTATGATATTGGGCACCTTAACAGTGTTCTGCACGGACCCTGCAAGATTTTTTTTCTCCAGGACTTTCTGTGAGGTCATCTCCAGCAAGAACAAACTCCAGCCCAAGTTTTGCCTGATTTTCTCACACATGCACTGCAGAGTCAACACATTTCTGGGAATCAGCCAAGCTTGGTGAACAGTTTGTGACCCGTAACTTGTAATCTCTGTTTTTCAGTATGAGTGCAGTCCCATCCACTTTCTGCTGGCACCGTCTCAGCTCATTCATGATGGGCAGCTCTTGTCCAACAGACATGGCAAAATAAAGGCCTTTTCCAGAAGAGGAAATGCCTATCAGTGGTTTGGGCCACTTTGAGCTCTTTATAGTGCCTTCTCCACTGTAAATTTTCTTGTAGCCATTGCGTGCAAGGACTGCTTGGGATGGAGCTTTTTATCTTGCAGGGACTTCATGGAATATCTCCAAATCCCATTATTATTTCCAGGAACCTCCACACATGATCTCTGTGAGAGGTATGTGGGTGACCACGTCCTTGGCCCCATCCTGGTGCACCACTGCCTCACAAGGAGATTTTAAGGTTGAAAGAGGAAATTTCACATGCCTGAGATGATGCAAAGACCAAAAGTTCTTCCCCAGGGAATGGTGTGGCCTCTGGGATTCTCTGCAGAGGGATTTCCATCCCAGGAAAGCAACAAAATCAGGCAATTTGCAGGCAGTGAGTTTGTCTGACGACCTGGCAGGAGGAGAAAAAAGTAAACCAATGCTCATCCAAGTGCAGAAAGAAGCACTTTCCTAAAAAGCAAGAAATAATTACAAGATAAAAATGCTGCATCTTTTGGACTTCGTTTCAGCATTTGGAGGAGAGTTTGGTGAGATCCTCAATTCAAGACTGGCTTGGAAGTCTGTGGAAAACCACCCAAAAAATTACAGGATGTGCAAAAATGTTTGCAGATTACTAAGCCTGTTTTGCAACGTCCTGTAGACAAGAAACAAATCTGCTCTGGGATGAATGACCAAAAAAGCCGTGTTCGGGATCGTTTCAGTGCAGATTTAAGGGCTGAATGTGCATCAGATGTTTCCAATCCAAAATCTGTTTTCATTCTCCTTTTTTTTTGTTGTTTTTTTTTTTTTCTTTTTTGCATTTTTTTAACACCATTGATTCCCTGGAAATCAACAATGGCGAAGTGGGGATGAAAAGGCCAGCGGCATTAGCTATCATTAGAATAAGAGTCATGTATTCCTCGCTGCCGAGATGCACGTAATTAGAAATTAGAAAAAGGTCAGATCTCACCATTATCAACTCAATCAGCTGCCGAGTGCCACACAGTCAATTAATTCAGCATCTGTATTTTTTACAACCCCGCGCACGTACGCCAACGGACTGTAACTCTTTATCCGGACAGATATACGGCGCAGCGGAGCAGGGACATAAAATGAGACCCTAAGCAAATGAGCTGAGATAATTGAGAGATTTATTTTTTATACATATATGTGTCAGGTCCTCTTGCCTTTGCCCTTGAATATTGACTTTCATGGCCGTGAGCCCCTGGAGGATGCGGAGAGCTGGGGCGCGACGCCTCCACCTTGCGCTTCACCCGTGCCAAGCGCAGAGGAAGGAAAATATGCAGAAAAAAAGCATTAAAAAGGGAAGTTTTCCATCCGTGCCCCATTGTTCCTGCTGTCTGCTGACTGAAAATTTGCTTTCTCCGTTGTGGAGCCTCCACCTGAGTTTGGCCTTGGATTTTTCGGGATGTTTCCCAACCTCGACATCTCACAGTTTGTAAAGATGACCACTAAAATTTGCAAGTTAAAAACACCCTTTGAAATGCAAAGACTCTTTGTTACATAAAACTGGATTTATTGCCCCGGAGTGAATAGCTGAAATTTTATATATTATGCAAGATTTCAAACAGCGGCTGTAAAACTTAAGGTTTCAGCTCGGCAAGAGGAATGTTTCATGTGTAAATTTTTTAACATTTATGGGGTACGTTTTAATGAGGCCCAGGCTTTGCACCAGCAACAGCTTACGGCAGTGCTGCAGCCCCATAATCTTGTTAGAGAAAGTGGTCTCTGGAGAATAACCAAACACGTTGCTACATCAGGGCTTTGCCTCGGAATTTTCTGGGAGAAATTCCCATGAAAGCGACAGTAATTTTTGTGAATTTCACCTCTTGGGATCGCAGAGATAGCACAGCTGCAGAGGGAGAAGAAAGGCAGGGGAGCAGAGGGATGGGCTCTGGGGTGGATCTGGGGTGAGAATATCGATTCTAGGGGCTTTCTCTTTCTTTCTTTGGTTTGCTGAGAATGGTAATGCTTTTGACTCTGCTTTTGATGCGTGCAGATGGTGAAGGCAATCCAGGTGCTGCGCATCCACCTCCTGGAGCTGGAGAAGGTCAACGAATTGTGCAAGGACTTTTGCAACCGCTACATCACCTGCCTCAAAACCAAGATGCACAGTGACAACCTACTCAGGAACGACCTGGGGGGCCCCTACTCCCCCAACCCTTCCTCCATCAGCCTCCACCCTCAGGTAACACCTTAACACTGCCTGCAATCACCATCCTTGCACTTTGGCCAGCATGCAAGGCACGCAAGGTTGAGGAATGGTTCTGCAAGTCCTGTGGTCTCTGGGAAATTCAATGAAATCCATCCCAAATTGAGGAAAACATGAAAAAAAGAGTTGTATCTTGCACATATGAAGCAAAATGGTGGGGTTTTTTTTTTCCTGAAATAGTTACAAGTGTTTCATGAAAAAATACTATTTGTCCCTGTAGTAGAAGTTCTGTGTCATGGCTTAAAGCAGTGATTGAGCATCTGGTAGGAAGGCAGGGCCAGCCTGGGGCAGCTCAGGTATATGCAATGTGCTGAGTGATGGAAGGGCCAGGATCCACCCCTTCCCAGCCCTCATTTAAGGATTGGCAGTGGAGGTGAGGTGATTTTGCTGGAGAAGCTTGCATACCTGAGGCTTTCTGAAGGTAAACAACTTCTTTCTTTTATTTTTGTGCCCACAGCTGTTGTGTTTGAGCATATCCTCATTGTAGCCTAGGGCCTTGCTGTCCCTGCTATGCTTTCTATTGTGTTACAGTCCCACTTTGTCATCTTCATTTCAAGGCAGGACAACAGATTTCAAGGCAGGACAACAGATTTCAAATGCCCCTTTTTGGTTGCTCTGCTCCAGCACATCCTGCAATCCACCACCAGCATGACCAAGCTTAACACCTTCATTTGTTTTTCTGTACTCCAAATTCTCACCTGTAGAAGGTAACATTTGGTGCCTTAAGTGCTACAGATATCCAGAAAGTTCAGCCATTTCTGTTCATATTTTGGCATTGAGTTGCACCTTGGTGTCTTTTTGGAGAAAAACAGGGGATTTCTCCTTAGTGTCTGGAAGAAAAATCAGGGATGTATTTCTCTCTGATAATGTGCTGCTTGGCTTTTTTCAGTGGGAAAATGAAACTTGCGGTTGCACAGTCCTCCCTGAAATAACTGCAGCCAACACACCATTAGTCAGAGGTTCACCAAGCACCTCTTGGCACTATTCCCTAATGGGGGGTAGATGCCAGGAGCTCTTTATGGTGTTTCAGGGTGTTTTCAAGGTGGTGGAAAGGAGAAAAAAGACATCATTTGTAGCTGCTTTGCTCCAAGTGCTGCGCAGTTCAAAACTCCTGGCGTTACACATGGGGCTGCCTTCTTTCCCCAGCACAAGGAGGGAAAACATGGAAAAAAGTTGTATTTCTTATTTGGGTTTCCTGAAAGCACCAAAGCACTTAATCACTGATCTTAAAAAAAAAAAAGCCAAAAAAAACAGCTTCTCTCTATTTTCTAATAATCTCTAGAAATGGACTTATTATCCCTTTGCTACTTTATGGAAGCATTCCTTATGATCAAAATTAGCGAGACGCTTGCATAAAAGAGAACAATAATTGCTCAACGAGCATCTCGTTTGTAATTTATTAGTTTCTATTATTGTGCGTTGCCACGGCAACAGCTCGCATCCCGGGTGATGACAGAGATGTTAGATATGAGCCGACGAAGCTCCTGGTCCCAGCAAATGGAGGTGCACGTTTTTATCAGTAATTTTCATGAAAATAATAAGTGAGGGAGTTAATGAGATGGAAAGCCGTCCTGTGGCTATTGTGATTTTTTTTTCCCTCTCTTTTTTTTTTAAGTGTTGATCTAATTAGAATGCATCAGTCAGGAGAAGTAATGAGGATTTAGCATCTCACAAAGAGGTGGGGATCGTATCAGAAAATTAGCACAAAATTGGAAAATAATCGGGCCAGTGCTGGAGAAGGGGCTGAGCTCCTCGGATTCCTGAAATCCCGGATCTGCCCCCGTTTTCCTTCCAGGCAGGACAGGAACGTTGAGAATTCAAGTGAGGCTTTGGAGATTGTTGCTAAATAAAAGGGTGAGACCCAATTGGAGGGGAATCACACTGCAGGATTGTCACACTGGCTCAGGGACAGGAGGGTTTGCAGCAGGCAACAGGAGCTCAACTATTTGTGGTGACAGCTCAGAAGGAGCCACCATCTCCTTGGGCACTGGATGTGGTTGACATAGCGGTGCTGGCGTAAGGGCAAATTTTTTCTAATTACCCAACTCAGCAATGTCAAGTGCCAGACTGCTTCAGCTCATTGAGTGTACTTGAATTTGCATGGATAAAGCTTAGAAAAACAACAGTGGAAACACTTTTTGTTCATCAAAGAAGCCTTATAGAGCTGGGGATGCTTCAGCGAACTGAAGAACTGTGAGACTCGTGTTCAAAAGATGGCAAGTGGGATGATCTTGCTAATTATTGTGCTATTAATCTCACACCAAATATAAGTGTAACACCTAAGCAGCCTTTACTACAGAAATTCAAAAATAATGTAAATAATAGAAATGTGATTAATCAATTATTGACCTACAAGGTTTCTTAGCAAACAGGGTTGTGGGGGGGTTTTTGTTTTTGTTTTTTTTTCCAAGGTATGGGATCAATCATTTTGAGAGGAGATGTACCAGGTTAGTTATGAAAGCAAGCTGTTTCTGGCTCGGGCAAATTTTTTTTGACCACTCAACTGCCTGCTTAAAAATGTATGGCTATGTCATAACAAGAATGAGAGCTGAAACTGAGAAAGCAACAAGTGGAACTGACGAAATGGGATAATCGCCGCTGTATTGATTTCTGTTATGTAAAGCCAACAGGTTTTCATCCCCCATTCATCCAGCTGTGCCTCTACATGTTGAGTTTGGCCAGCTCTTTCTCAACAGACTCATACGTTTCTTTTTTTCTGCAGCTAACCCAGATTTTTCCCAGTTCACACAAGCACAGAAAATTTTCAGAAAATTAGAAGGGGATGGAAGCTTTATAACGTGTGCCACTCAGAATTAAATCACTGCATCATAAAACAAAGTGAAAGGACATCAGCACAAATAGCACTGCATTTTAGCGTTATTGTGAGAAAGGGGTGTTTTTTTGTACAATGCCATATATACCAGGTCCATTTCCTCATTAAAGTGATTTTTAATTTGGAGAAACCATGTTTTGCCATAGAGCTGCAGAATTTTGGTGCTGTGATGGATCTGTAGAGACACCTAGTGATGCATTTTTTTCTATGCTCAAGTGTAAAAATTGCCAGAAACTTTCCAACTGCAGTCCTGGGATGTAAAACATTTCTAAAATCATCATGGCAATGTAATTTGGCTGGCATTTGCAATTAGTATGCTAAAAACATATTTTAGATCTTCTTGGAGATGTCTATAACTATTTTAAGGCAGAGCCTCCATTTCCATTGGATACCTCTGGTTTCGCAGTGTTGCTGCACTTTCAGATATTCTGAATTATTTCTTCCCACTGCACTTCCAAAAACAGTCTTCAGGATTCTCATTTTTTGAGGAACTGCAGAATAATGAGTCAGGAAAAGAGTTTTGCATGTCTCCTGGTGAACAGTGCACCCACATAATCACTTGATGTCCAATTAGTTGATCTGGGCATTCAAATTATCATCCCCATTGCTTTATTTTTAGAATAAGAGGGGCGATGGCTTTTTCTGACCCAGCCCTGCTTGTGTTTCTGGTGTCACTATACATCAGTTCTCCAGATAAATCCTCTGTTCTTAGACCAAGAAATAGGTTTGCTGATGAAATGTGTAAAAATGAAGTAAGTTCAAGTAAGGTGGAAAATGCCTTTTGTTGGTATTTTGTTCAGCAGCTGAGGAACAGGACAATGGAGAAGTGAGACAGAATGGGAAAATGGGTGGAAGAGGGAGAAAAAGATCCTCCTTTTACTGCACAATGTGAATGCAGCTTTATCTCAGTTACAGTGGGCATATTTCAGATATTCATACCTTATTTTGGAAGGATAGTTTTCTAAATGCTCTTGGCATGACACTCAAAAGTCTTGCACATCATGGAGGCTGTCGTGCTTGGCCTGAGTTCTCCGTATCCTCCCATTGTGACGCACTTCCCAAAGTATTGTGCTAAATAATCACATAACCTATTTGTGCTTTTTTCCATTTGCAGCTCTTGGGTGAAAGGCTGATGGTAATATTACAGCACTTGGGGAAGAAATTTCCATTTTTGCAAGAAGTTGACTTTAAAGCTGCAAGGAATTATGTCAAATGGAGCTGTGTCACTTTTTTTTTAAATTAATTATTCTGGCATGGAGAAACTAATGGTGGTTATTTTCTGCTGCTCTTATTGGAGATCTGTGCTGTTCACGTGCCTTTTTTGGGGGGTGGGGGGGGTTATTTTTTTCAGAGCAGTTTATGGTGTTTTCCCTTTGAGGTGAAGCTGCTTCATCAAGTTCCAGACAAAAGAAAAAAATAAGGAAATGTGTAGATAGGAAAACAATATAATTATTTCCTTCTTGTCATCTACGTGGTATTTTTTTCACTTATTGAAAATAGTGGCTGCACAAAGAGGTGAAGTTGCTTAGACACAAGTGGGAGCTTTGCAAAGCATAATTCCTTGCTTTTCCATATTTATCTCCAGCTGTGACAGAAGGAGGGGAAAACAAAGCTCTTATTGCATGTGACAAAATGCTTTGAAATCTTCTTTTCTTCTTTCTCTTGCAGGAGATGCTGCAGAGCTCACCTGCGGCGCTCCCGGCCGCCTCCAACCCCCCCCCCGGGCATCGTGGTGCCTGCAGCTGCGCTGCCCCCGGGCAACCTGGCCATGGGCAGCGGGGCTGGATCGCCCGCTGTGCCAGGTAGGGTCAGCAGGGAGGCTGGGGGGAGTCTGCCCTCTGCATGCAGCACTCCCACAAACCCTGTCTTCCGCAGGTGGAGCCCTGTACCAGCCCGTGACGATGGTGACATCTCAGGGCCAGGTCCTTGCCCAAGCCATCGCCCCTGGTGCCCTGCAGATCCCCAATGCCCAGGTAAATCCTAGAGCCACAGAGCATCTTGAGCTGGAAGGTACTCATAGGGGGCACCAGGCCCAACCCCTGGCTGCAGACAGCACCACCCAAACACAAAACATGTGTCTGAGAGTGGTGTCCAAGCCTCTGCACGTAGATCCAGGGCTGCCCCATCCTACACGCAGAATCTGGCATTTCTAGCATTTAAGGATGAGAGGTGGTGGCCTCACCTTGTGCCAGGGGACGGTCAGATTGGATATTGGGAAACATTTCTTCTCTGGAAGTGGTGCTGCGCTGGCACAGGCTGCCCAGGGAGTGGTGGGGTCCCAGTCCTGGAGGTGTTCTGGAGCTGCGGGGTCAGTGGGCATCGTGGGGGCGGATTGGGGCTGGGGATCTTGGAGGTCTTCTCCGGCCTTGATTGTATGATTCTCTTGTTAAACTTTGTGTGGTTGCTTGCTCTGCTGTCAGATTTCACAAGGTCTCTCTGCCTTTCTTCACCAAGTTCCAGGGAAGTTGCAGTCTCAGGTTTATTTTTGTAGGGTAAAAGATCTGCACCAAAACACCTCAGTATCATTTATCTTCTGGGGACCACAAGCATCATCCATCCCATATGGCAGTGCTCCTTTTTTCCCTGTGTTATCACAACCTCATGAATTTGGGGTGGCTTTGAGGCATCTGTTCTATTTTCATTCCTCTTCTGATTAGCCATGCTGGGTTTCTCTGCGTTTTTGCAGCAAGACAATGATTTAGGGTAGAAATTGCTTTGTAAGGATAACTTGCCATCCCTGTTTGCATGCAGACTGCATCATCCACAGTCTCTTACAAACGCTGTCATTCCTCAGGAATTTGGGCAAAACATATCACTGTCTGCCACGCTGCTCCCTGGGGGCAGATCAGCCTCAATTCCCCCATGCACATTTTTAATGGCAGGAGCCTCCTAACGCTATCAGTCATAAATGCATGTGGAAAAAAAGGATATTTTGGAAGGAGGAGACACCTCCGCAGCAGGCTTTAATGCCTTCAAGGCTTCTTTCCTCCTTTCCCTCTTTAATATCTCTCCGTCACCAGCTTGGATCTTGCAGCAAAGCCCTCTGAGGTGCAAGAAACAGACGCGCGGGGAATATCAGGGCAGGGAGAGCAGCCTGGACAAGCACCTCCGGATGCTCTTCCCGCGCCGCCAGCGTGATTTATTCATCTGGAGCTCATGGGAGCGGTGGGACCTGCCAGGCTGATGTTTAATTCATCTAGGAGAAGTGTTTTGATGAAGAGCTGGGAAAAAAAATCTTTTTAACTGAGGTTTCAGTTCTTTTCCCACGACATCATTAAAGCTTCTCTTGCAGCATCCCAGTGTATTTATTTTTGTTTTTTTTCTAAAAGCAGTGCATTTTCCCACAACGTTTCTCCTCTATTAATTGGAATAAGCAGAGTGAGGAACAAGGAGTTAACGAATCACAGAGTTTTAACCTCAGGCTGTAAAAAATAGCTGTCTCTGTTTTGTTGTGGTATTTTTATTGTGGTAAATTATCCTCCTTAATTGCATGTTGAAAGTGGGCATGGCGTTGTCCTCACTGGTGCCACTGCAGTTGGGAAAAGCCAATTGCCCTTTGCAAAACTGGGTGCAAAAATGAAGATACTAAATGAAGATACTAAACAGATTCTGGTGGAGAAATGGAAATTTAATGCAGATTTTGGGAAAGTGGTGGGATTTGGGAGGTTCTCACCACAGTCTGTTTTTTCCACTCCACTACTCCCGTTTTGAGTTCATTTTTGTTTGGTTTTTTTGGGGTTGCTGATCACCCTTTTGAGCTGATTCTCTCCCTGGCAGGTGAACCTGGATCTCACCTCACTCCTTGATGGCGAGGACAAGAAGTCCAAGAACAAGCGGGGCGTTCTGCCCAAACACGCCACCAACATCATGCGTTCCTGGCTCTTCCAGCACCTCATGGTGAGCACACCCTGCATGACCATGCACCCTGCAGAGCACACTTCAGGGGGCTGCACAAGGGAAAAAAGGCTGCTTTGGAAGTTGGAAAGAAAAATGTCCTCAAAACCTTCAAAATGAACAAACTGAAGTGATGGTTTGTCTTAGTTTGGGGTATTTGGAGGCACAAAGTGGCTTTGCTTTCATTTTAGGAGCATTTGAGGCATGTTTTCACTGCTGGTGGCAAAATTATGATCTTGATGTTTAGCAAACAAAACCAGAGGGGGAAATAAGCCAAGTGTCTGACTTCCATCCACGTTTGCAGGTGTGTAAAGAAGGGCTCTGTACAGTTAACGGCTCCAATGTACCCTTTTCCAGCAGTCAGTGGGCTGGGTGCAACAGCTGCCCCTGTGGGTGCAGCAGGAATTGTCCAAAGTGTGAAATTACAAAATGATCCGGTTTTTGGGTTTGTTGGTGGGTGGAGGTGTAATTCACAGAGGATGCAACTGGGCTATTTTCATGCAAGGAGGCTGCTTGCCCACCACTGGGGCTGGAAAAAGGGCAGTAAGCTAAAACAAAAATCCCTTTTTCCTGCTTAACTCAGGGATTACTCTGCACTTACTGTTTTCTCAAAGCCCCTTCCTGAATCTCCTGGTGCGGGAGGACTAACAGCTACTTCGCAGATTTTCCTGCACACCATTTTGTTGGGCAAATTTTGACGCCCGGGGATGATGAGGATGCATAGCACAAGGCACTGAGTCTTCCCATACGTCTTATCTTCTTAGCCTGAAAGCACCAGCATAAATAATGGGGTTTGCATCCTAGTAGCATCAGTGATCACAATTTTGTTGGGCTTGGGAGATTTTTAGCTGGAAATAATATGCCATAAATGCTGGAATAAGGCATTATGGGAAATGGCACTGGGAACAGTGAGACATCCCTGGGAAGTCCCGCATGAAGCCACCTCTAGGAGTGCTTGGGCAAGTTGATATTTTTCAAGGAATGCTTTTGCCAAAAAAGGAGCAGGTTTTAAAGCCGAAATCCTGAATTTCTGACAACCGTTATTAGAAAACAGTAGAGAAAATCACTAAAACTAACAAAAAAAAATCTCCTTTTCCTTGAAGTAAAGCCTTAGGTGAAAAGCATTTGTAAAGAGTTAAGGATGCAGGGGAGACAATGGTACCTTACAAATGTGCAACAAGTCATCAAACTGGGGTGGGAGGGATGGAAAAAAAAAGTGTTCTTTCCCCCTGACTGGGGCTGCTGCTTTACATACATGGATGTCATTTTGCCCATCTATCTTCTAGCATCCCTATCCCACGGAGGATGAGAAGAGGCAAATTGCTGCCCAAACCAACCTGACCCTCTTACAAGTCAATAACTGGTGAGCACACTGGTGGCCTGTGCTGTCACCTCACAGATTTTATAGATTTTGAACAATTCTGTCTCATTTAGTCTGTTTTTAGGGATTGGGTGAATAGTTATGGGTCATTTTTAGGCAGTACAGTGGCTGTGTGCTTAGTTAATTGTTGGACTTTGATGATCTTTATGGGTCACTTCCAACTTAGGGTATTCCGATTCTATGCATCCAGTGTTCATTTGTGAAGTCCCAATGCCCTCTCCTGGCAATCACAACATAGCAGCCAGTATTTTCCCTCCTGCAACTAACAGCCGGAGAAATTAGAGCAATGGCTTAACATGCCACAGACAAATGAAACAGAGGCGCATGGCTTGGGGAATGGGATAGAAAAACAGTTTTCTGCACCATGAAACCACTTCTGAAAGGGTTTTATTGTAATTATATATATATATAAATAATAAAGCAATTCATTAAATTGTTATTGTTTACTTAATATAGTAATTTAAACAATTTTTAATTGAATGGCTGCTTTTTTCCTGGGAAAGGTTCATCAATGCCCGCCGGCGCATCCTGCAACCAATGCTTGATGCCAGCAACCCAGACCCAGCCCCTAAAGCCAAGAAAATCAAATCTCAGCACCGGCCCACCCAGCGGTTCTGGCCCAACTCCATCGCTGCTGGTGTCCTTCAGCAGCAAGGTGGCAATTCGGGGACAAATCCTGATGGTAAGGAGAGTCCTGGTGGCTCCTGTTCCTCCTGGATAAGGCCATGCATAATACCTGATGCTGGTATTCAAGGTTTTTAAGGTCCCTCCCAACTCAAACCATTCTGTGATTCTATAATCATTCTATGTTTCTATGAACAAAAGAGATGAAGAAAGAAGATTAAGAGAAACTCTGACAAACCATTTTGGGCATCTTCTTCCTGAAAGGCTAGTTTCCTGTTATTTAGTAAATACACAGCAGTTAGATGTAAGATTTAGACCTCGGGAGATGGGTGGGGCAGGTGGGACCCCCTGCATAGTATTTTGGGTAATACAGCTGACCATTTGTGTTCTTGTAGGTTTATGCACTTTTCTGTCCTTTTAGTATCAGACAGGGAGTCCTTGTTTTTATCTGTTTAATTTCAGGCTCCCTTGCCATGGACAACCTGCAGCCCCTCTCATCAGCCACGGCCACCATGGCCATGCAGCAGGCCATGCTTGCAGCTCACGAGGACTCCCTAGATGGCACCGAGGAGGACGACGATGAGGAGGATGAGGACGAGATGGAGGAGGAGGAAGAGGAGGAAGAGGAGCTGGAGGAAGAGCCCGGTGGCCTCCCGACTGCGCCTGGCGCTAACCTTGGCTTGGACCACAGTGACTCACTGGAGTAGCTCACCTTGCGTGCTCCCCAAATCATGGATGGCGCCAGAAGCGACCTCTCCCAGAATGGCAAAAAACAGCAAGAAAACAACAAATTGGTGAGGAAAAAATCTAACTGTGGAGGCCCTGACAGATGCCCCATCTGCCTGTGGGTGCACCGGGGCCACCACATCCGCACATGGCAGTGAAGGACACGTGTTTACAAGGCACATATTGTGGCCGGATTTTTTTGAGGTTTTCTTTCAGGTTTTATCCTTGTTTTCTCCCTTTTCCCTTCATTTTTGGTAATGAAAGCATTTATAGGGGAGGCTGTTTTCCCCACCGTGCTCAGATGCCACCATAGGCTGTTGCATCCTCTTGGATTTCTTGGTGCAAAAAAACCCCAACAGAAACAGGATTGATGTATTTTTGGGGGAAGCTTCCACAAAAAAAGGTCATTCATATAAACATCAGCATGTGGGAAAAAATTGCCAAGTTCCCAATTCTGCTTCCTATCAGATTGGAGGAAAGTTTCATGCTTTTGACCCACAGGATTGCTCACATCCCCGTTTTGGCCCCAGTGCTGTGGCCATTGGGTGACTCTACGTGCGACTTTCAGGAAAAGGGAGAAAGTCCCCAAACTATTTAATTTATGTGCTAAAAACCCAACAAATCTGGAAAAAATATTCAGCCTTGAACTTCAGGACTGAGACTGGATGCAATGTTGGGCTGGATGTGAGGCTGAGTAAGACCTTTCCAGGGTTTTTTTGGTACCAAATAGGAATAAAATAGCAGCCTTTCTCCGAAAATTGAATAGTGATTTGCCCAGGAGGAAGGAAATTCAAAAAGATGGTATCTCCCCAGTGTCATCCACCTGTGCAGGAAAACATTGGGTTTCTCACCCCCAAGTGCCACAAGTGAGCTGTTAGGGGGCAGCTGTACAAAAACACTGTGTTTGGGGGCTTCAGGTGGTAGCAAAAAGGCAAATTCTGCCTTGAACTGTGAGAATAAAAGCAGCCCAGGTAACACAGGGCATCTTCTCAGTTCCGTGGGGGTTTAAAAAAAAAAAAAAAAAAGGATTTTTTTTCTGCCAGTTCTTCCCCAGCAGTGTGGGGTTTGTTCTTCTGTAATAAGGAAGGATTTTGTCGGCTGCATGAATTGCCATTTTTGACCCTCTTTTGGCTCTTGAAGAGTTGAGAAGAAACAGCAGCCACAGCCAAACAGGCCGCAGCAACAAAGTGATGCAATGGGCAGCAAAGCCTGTTTTTCAATACTGATCTGGCGTGAATGTAATCTGTAATTTCATAAAGGATTCATTGTAATTTAGTATTAATTCATGTCATTTATTATAAAGTGCTACGAGATGAGGTTTTGCAGCTGTATTTTATTGTCAGCTTCTTTCAGTGGAGGTGAGGGTGATGAAGGACAAGTGGAGCACCAGAATGGGTGAATAACACCAAAATGGGCAACCCATAAATAGGCAAATTCTCCTAAAATGAGTGAATTGCTTCAAATCCACAGATGAGTGATGCAACCCCAGAAGGATTCGACCTCTGTGAAGAACTCTGAAACTGGGTGATTTACCACCAGTATGAACTATGCTTCCCCAAAATGAGGGACTATCCCCAAATATGAACTCTGCTCTCCAGAAATGCAGTGTGCCTCCAAATGAGTGACCCTCTCCAAAATCAGTGGGAGCTGCCCTGACACCAAAATAAGCACTGTGCCACCGAATGTTGCTTCCCAAAAATGAGGAATGCTCTCCAAATATGATTAACAGTACCCCAGAATTGGTCTCTTCCCCCAAAATGAGTGCCTTTTCCCCCAGATGAGCACCCAAAATAAGTGACACACCCCAAAGCAGCGTGATTCTTCCCAAAATGGAATCCTTGCCTATTAAGCACCCAGCAGCAGCAGCTTGTTACCCCAAAATATGCCTATTTTGCAAAATGCTGAATAATCATGACCCACAAAAAGTACATTTGTCTACCCCAAAGCTGCAAAACACAGCTTTTTTTACCCTGCGTAATGCAGGATGAGATGGTTTTGGACCTGCTCCATCCCCTGGTTAACCGGGGATGCCTCGGTGGAGTGGAGGCTGGAAATGTGACACCCATCTTCCAAAAGGGCTGGAAAGATGATCATGGTAGCTACAGACTTGTCAGTCTCATCTCAGTGCCAGGGAAGGTTATGGAATGGATAATCTCAGGAGCCATCACGGATCAATTAAAGGTCAGCCAGGGGATCGAGTCCAGTCAGCGCGGGTTCGTGAATGATAGATCCTGTTTGACAAACCTGATTTCATTCCACGACAAGGTGAGCCGCTTAGTGGATGAAGGTAAGGCTGTCGATGTGGTTTACCTGGAATTCAGCAAAGTCTTTGACGCTGTTCCCCACAGCATTCTCATAGAGAAGCTGGCTGCCCATGGTTTGGATGGGCGCGCGCTCCACTGGGTGAAACACTGGCTGGATGGCCAGGCCCAAAGAGCGGTGGTCAGTGGAGTTAAATCCAGTTGGCTGCTGGTCACGAGTGCTGTTCCCCAGGGCTCGGTACTGGAGCCACTTCTATTCAACATCTTTATTAACGATCTTGATGAGGGGATTGAGTGCACCCTCAGTAAGTTTGCAGATGACACCAAGTTGGGAGGGAGTGTTGATCTGCCAGAGGGGAGAAGGGCACTGCAGAGGGACCTGGATAGGCTGGGTCAATGGGCCAAGATGAACTGTGTGAGTTTCAGTGAGCCAAGGTTAACTGTGTGAGATAACTGTGTGAGGGCCAAGTGTTGGGCCCTGCATTTTGGTTGCAACAACAGGCAACCCTACAGGCTTGGGGAGGAGTGGCTGGAAAGCTGCCTGATGGAAAGGGGCCTTGGTGTTCTGATGGACAGAGGGCTGAATGTGAGCCAGCAGTGGGCCCAGGTGGCCAAGAAGGCCAATGGCATCCCGGCTTGTGTCAGGAATGTTGTGGTGAGCAGGACCAGGGAAGTCATCCTGCCCTGGACTCAGCACTGGTGAGGCCTCACCTTGAGTACTGTGTTCAGTTTTGGGCACCTCAGTACAGAAAGGACACGGAGGTGCTGGAGCAGGTCCAGAGAAGGGCAACAAGGCTGCTGAAGGGCATGGAGAATATGGCCTGTGAGGAGAGACTCACGGGAAGGAACTGGGGCTTGAGTCTGGGGAAAAGGAGGCTGAGGGGAGACCTTACTGCTCTCTTCAAATACCTGAAAGGTGATTGCAGTGAGTGTGGGGCTGGTTTCTTCTCACCGGTGACAGGATGAGGGGAAATGGCCTCAAGTTGCACCAGGGTTAAGTTTAGGCTGGATATCAGGATACACTTCTTTACAGAAAGGATTGCTAAGCACTGCAATGGGCTGCCCAGGGAGCTGTTGAGTCACCATCTCTGGATGTGCTTAAAAACCGTTTGGATGTGGTGCTTGGGACGTGATTTAGCGAGGGTTGTTAGAGTTGGGGTAGTATGGTTAGGCTGTGGTTGGACTTGATGATCTTTAAGGTCTTTTCCAACCTGAGCAATTCTATAATTCTATTCATTGAATGCAGGAGAAGAAGACACTGGATGCCAGTTGCTTAATTAATGAAACAAATTGTTTATTTCCCAGCTGTGCAGAGGTTTGGGGGGATGTGGGCCGGGGAGGTGCAGGTGACCTGTTTCCATGTGACTGGCCCCATTTCTGGGGGTGCTGAAGTTTGGGGGTGCAGGGCTGCACTGCATCAGGTTGGGCAGAGCACTGCAACGAGAGAGGTGAGCGTGCACAAGTGTGCACAGGGCTGCACTAGGGTGCAGGCAGCTGCAGAGTGATGCATAGATAACAGGGCTGCAGGGGGGTCCACAAAGATGTGCAGCGGTGCACAGTGATGCATGAGTGTGCAGTAGGTTGCATGAGTATGCATGGGGGTGCACATGCATGGTTGAGGGTTTGTATGCACAACTACGTGTGAGCATTCATGAGCTTGCACCAAGGATGCATAAGCATTCATAATGAGGGTGCTTCTGGTTGAATGAGGTTGCACAATAGCTGTAAATGGGATGTAAGAGGATACAGGAGGAAAACAGAAGGGATGAATGAAGAATTCACAAGGCATGCACAAAAGGGAGTACAGGGGATGCACCGGGGCATGCAGTGATGTACAAAGAGCACATGGGGGATTCACAAAAGATGCAGGAGGATGAGCAGATGATGCACAAGGGATGCCCAGGAGATGCATGAGGCACATAAAGGATATTCAAAGGAGAGAAATGCGCAGTGGCGCATTACGGGTGCCCAGGCATTCCCAATGGATGCAGAAGGGCCATGGATGAGTACACAGGGGGTGAAGAAGAATGGACAATGACATGTGAAGGTCCATGAGGATGCTGTAAAAATGCAGGAGGGATGCTCAGGAGATGCACCCAACATGCAGGGGAGATGTAAGGAATGCACAAAAAATGCATGAGACGTGCATGAGCACTGCAGGAGAGGTGCATGAGGGTAAGGGAGATGCAGAAAGGACACACTGATAAAATGGGGAATGCCCTTGGGGTATGGAGGATGCAGGGGGGATGCATGGGGCACATGCAGGTACCTTTGAGGATGTAGTCCGTCAGCAGCGTGGGCACCTTCTCATTTCCCTCCTTCATAGCAAACAGGACTGCACAGTGAAAAAGGACCTTGAGCAGTCCATGCATCCCCACATACCTCTATTCAGTCCCCAAACAGCCCCACACCATCACAGAGGCACTACCACAGTGTACCCATTCTGACAGTACCCCAATGGAGCATTTTCACCCCCATCAACCACACTCAGGTGATGCAAAATGGAGTTTTCCACCCAAATTGGCACTGAGGTGGGCTGTAAAAATGGGAAAGGTGGGGCAGGGGAGGCCCTGCAAATCAGGTCTGCTACAGCAATGCAAAATGGGAAACTGCACCCCAAATTGCTCAGGGCATACTGATGCAAAATGAACAATTTTGCCCCAAATTGGCCATGCCAGGGGGTACAAAATATTTCCCAATGTGCGTGGACCATAGTGATGCAAAAACCAACAGCAGCCATGCTGATGCAAAAGCTTTGATTTGCTGCAGTGGTGCAGATGAGACAACTGTGCCTGAAAACTCTCAATGCTTCACTGATACAAAATGGTGTTTCTCCTCCAAACCAGCTGTGCTGCATTAGTGTCATGCATCTGATTGCAAAAAAGGTGGCTGCACCCCCAACTGGCTGTGTTGAAAAAAAGTAAAAAAAAAAAAAAAAAAAAAAAAAAATTCATCCAAGTTGTGGGCACTGCAGCAATGCAAATTGTGTGTTTGTGCCCCAAATTGGCCATGTTATGGTGATTCAATGTGGGTCAAGCAAGGACTCACTGTTGGTGAGCATCTGCAGATCCTCAACGGAGGGCGGCGAACCCTTCTTCTCATAGGGAATCACTGTGTTCAGATACTGCAAAGCAGAAAAATGCCCCCAAAACACCTCCATGCCATAAAGCTGCCTCTTTTTTCACACCTCACTGATGCAAACCACCCCAAATTGGTGCAAAAGCAGAAGTGCCAAATACAGCTGCAACTTTCCAGCAATTGCATTTAATTTACAGATGTTTGGGGGGCTACTGAGTTAAATGGATACTGCAAAAGTTATGCTCAAATGCACATGCACCCCTGGCTAGAGAGGACCGAAGGGATGAAAAAGGGCAAAAATGGCACACAAAGGGCTGTGCAGAGCAGGGAGTGGAAGGGGATAGATTTGGGCAAATTGGGGGGAAAAGGCACCTGCTTCTCGTTCGCAGCGGGGCCAAAGGTCTGACGCAGGCCGGATTGCAGGATGCTGGAGATGCCCTCCATGCTGAACCGCTGGGGACACGCATTATCCTGTCACCTCCTGGCATGAGGACACCACCCTGGGCACCAATATCCCCCATCTCCCCGATCCACCTCCCTGTCACCCCATCCCATCTTCACATCCCCATGCCTGTCCTGCCCATGTCCAGTGTCCTCCATGTGCTCAATCCCATGTCCCTTCATCTCATCCCATCTGATGCTATGCTATCCTATCCCATCTCATCCATCCCATTCTACCCCATTCTACACCATCCCATTCCTTGCCATCCCCACATCCGCAGGGCCCCACACCCCACCTCCCCCAGGCTCACGTCCATATGTCAGTCGACCCCATCCCCACCTTTCTGGGCATCTGTCCCCCACGCTCGGGACGACCTCCTTGCAGGCTGAGCCCACGGTCGCGGCGGCGGCGGCGTGCAGCCTCCCGCTGCTCCCGCTGCTCCCCCTGCACGGCCAGCAGTGCCCCAATAAACGCCGTCTTCACCTCCTTCTCGAAGGCCAGCTCATCCCGCCGTGCCAGCTGGGCCACCAGCTCGGCCGACAGT